ACGCATTCGATAAATTTTTCAATAAAATGAGCTATATCTCGAATGTTTAAAACTTGCCAAACTCAACAATACAATAATATTAAATATTGTCCCATCAAAGTTCAATATTTAAACAATACTTCTGCATACTTACAGTGCTCAGTCAAATCCATCTTCTGTAAAAAATTTACAAAAATGTACAAAGCCACAACAACAACATAACCTTCCATGAATATCCGAAAATCAGCAAAACCTGCAAATGACAATACAATTAAATAAAATGACAATGATGACAATATTTTAACAATATTTTTCAGCATACTCACAATACTTCAATAATATTTTGTATATTAATTGTATCACTTATTCCAAAACACATGTTGAACATAACCTCTGATATTTACACAATAATTATGGCGTTATTAGCTGATGACAATAAAATGCGTTATTGTCACACAATAGTACAATATTCAAGCAATAATTGTCCGAAGTGCCAACACTATAAAATCATTTTTTAATTTTTTATTTCATTTCATAATATTCGCTCACAACTCACAACTTGCAACAAATGCAATGAAGATGCTTTTTGTTAGTTTAGGAGTACCCGATGCGAAATAAACGTTAATTTTTTAAAATTCAAATTCAAATTCAAATTGATCGAAGTGATAAATTTAAAAGCGGTAAATATGTATTATAATTTTTTTCGTTAGGTGTAAGTGGCACAGTGTCTTAATATCGACGAAAGGTCAAATTTTGGCTCATACACACATTTTTTTCAAATTTGGGATCAAGTAACTCTGAATGACTTGAAATGTTGAGTAAATATAAAATAAGCAAGTCGGATTTTCTGGCGAAACAAACTTCTTCTCCGGGAAAAAATATATTAAATATTTTATAACATCTATAACAATTTGTTTTTATAAATTGCAAATCAAAATATTATATATTGTTTTTGTAAAGTGTATACAGCAAAAATGTGTATTAACAAAGTTTCAACAATTTTTTTTTTTCAAGAACAATTCATATAGTTTCTTATACTTAAAGTAAACTCCTAAAGTGACACTGCTGTGAGAGCCAACAAGCCGCCCATCAAATATTTCTTAAGCAACATATTTTAAAAAAATTCAATCTTTATGGATCTAATACATTTCATAAAAAAGTTACACTTCCAAAGACCAAAATATCACATTTACAAAATAAATTCTTAATAAATTAACTCAGAGTTATAAATTTTGGAGCAAAAGTCTAAGTTTGGAGTTATAAATATTGAATGTCAATACAATTGACAAAATCAATATTATTTCCAATTGATTTCTTCCAAACATACTTATATGTATAAATTAAATTAAACTGTTTAACACATTTTATTTTATACATTTCGAGGCCTAAAAATGTATTTTATTTAGTGTGGAGGTCAACTGTAATCAGTAGCTACCAACAAAACAGAGTACATAAATAAGAGTATTTGATTCTTATTAGAAAGTATTGTAAGTATTCTGATTAGAATAATATTTTTCCAAATTTAGGGCCAAATAATTCAAAAGTCAGATTTTCTGGCAAAAACATAAGCTTCAAAAAGTTATAAAAAAATAAAATGTGCATTAATGCTATAGCATATAGCTAAACATGTATTACCCTAGAATTGTAAATTGCAAACCAAAATATTAAACAATAGTTTTTGTAAAGAACTTGTAAAGAATACAGCAAAAATGTTTTTGTATTATCATTAACTTTCCACCTTTTGGTTTTAGTTTCTTTTTTAAGTAAAACTTCTTTAGGCGCGACTAGAATGTAAATCCGTACAAATGCAACGGAAGTCCGTTACGGCGAAACAGTTCGTCATTCGCTCAGGATGAGATCATTTCTATACGGGTCGATTGTGATTAGTCGTCGTGTATGTGAATAGAGATCTGTCGTTGTATGCGAACCGGAATCAACGTTGTATGCGTACTGATATCGACAAAGAAATCGGCATAGATAAACATTTAAGAGTTACATTGTAGTACAAATCTTGATTTAATGAAAAATGCCTGAATCAGAAAAATTTTTACCATGTCCCCGTAAATAATTATAATAAAAATAATAAAGCAAATTAAACAATTGGGCCGTATACTAAACGTAAGTTTATTGATTAGAAATTATTTCTATATTATTCGTAGTTTCCATAAATCTGTGAAGTTATTAAATGGAAAATATTTTTTAGGCAAGAGAGATATTACAGCTGTTTAAAGAATGAGATTATATCGCCAGCAAAAAAGTAAAAAAAATACCATCAGTCAATAAATGTATGCTAATTTTAATTACATGAAGTTCTTCAAACACAATTACATGATGGGTGAACACAATTACATGAAGTTCAAAATCAATATTTGTTTATGTGTCGTTTAACTTAATCCACTTAATCCAATTTGAAGTACCATATTCAAAATTACATTTAATTTAAAGATCACATAAATCTGTTATGAAATAAAGACGTTTAATCAATTTGGTCTTTTGGTTTACAAAATAAATATAAACCTATTGTTGATACAAAAATTACAATAAAATTATTATTATTATTTCTATCAGCAGTCATGTATCAGTTCCTGATTATGTAAATCCATTATTGAATACTTATAATTACCCCAACATTTGTCCTGTCAAGCTATATGAATATATGAATGCCTTCTTGCAATTTGCATATGGCTTATTCAACACACTTGGATCTGTGAATGTCTTATCACATATTTTGCCTAGAGTGAATGAGCATATGTCGTTTCAAGACACTTGATTGTGCAATGCTTTATCACATATTGTACATTTATTTGGGCGTTCCCCAGTGTGAATGAGCATATGTTGATTCAAATTACCTAACTGTGTGAATGCCTTACCACATATTTTACAATATGACACGTTCACCAGTGTGAATGAGCATATGTCGTTTCAGGATACTTGATCGTGCAAATGCTTTATCACATATTTTACATTTGGGACGTTCCTCAGTGTGAATGAACATATGACTTTTCAAGTCTCTAGATTGTTTGAATGTTTTGCCACATATTTCACATTTTTCAGGACGTTCCTCGGTGAGTTGGCATATGTTGATTCAAGTTACTTGATTGTCTGAATGCCTTACCACATTTTTACAAATATGAGAAAATTCCCCAGTGTGAATGAGCATATGTCGTTTCAAGACACTTGATCGTGCAAATGCCTTATCACATATTGTACATTTGTAAGGCCGTTCCTCACTGTGAATGAACATATGTCTTTTCAAGTCTTTAGATTGTTTGAATGTTTTGCCACATATTTCACATTTATTTGGACGTTCCCCAGTGTGAATGAGCACATGTTGATCCAAATGACTCGATCTTATGAATGCTTTATCACATAGTTGACATTTATAAGGTCTCTTTGCAGTATCAGCATGAATATTTTGTTTTCGATTACCAGATTCATTCAAGTGTAAATTTTGTTCTCTGGCACGAGCACAAATGTGTTGATCTAAATCAAATTTATTAAATGCTTCATCACACTTTGTACATACGAAATGTCTTTCATCCATATGAATTAACAGATGTCTTTCTAATGTACTTGCTTCTGGAAAAGTCTTTGAACAAAATGTACATTCATGTTCATGAACTACCATATGCTGTTTTAAATTGTGTGCAGACCTGTAAATGTCTATCATAGTTGTCACATTTATAAGAAGAACTCTGAATTAATTCCTGTTGGATTCTTCTTCTATCTTTACTACAGAGTTCATGAACCCCTTCAGACATGTTTCGTCATCCTCTGAGCTGGATTCAGGGTCTTCTTCTATTTCCTGTTTGATGTCTTCGATTGGATATTCTTGTGGTTCAATTTTAATTATCGGATCATCAGAAGCTTCTGACATTTTGAAATACTTGTGCACTGCGTGTATTCTGTAAGTATTGACAAAAGTAGTTAATTACTATTTAATGAGCTATTGCTAAATCTGATAATTTAACTAGTTATTGACAGTTCGAGAATAAAATGTTTTAGAAAGAAAATCATTCATCCAGTTGTAATATTTCACAGAATGGATTTATATCTTAATCAAGTTTTACCTTCAAATCTATTTTCACATTAAATTAACTGTAGTCAATTTTGAATAAAGTATGTCTTCAAGATGACCCTTCCTCAAAATCTTTTTGACAGATGTGAAACTATTTGTTTCACACTTTGGCTTATTGCAGAACTGAAATATAAAAAGCACGATCGAGCTTTAATTATCCATTGCCTACCTATATTAAAAATTAAATATTTATAGTTCTTTCTGTATGAAATAAATATACTAAAAAGTTAATCATGATAAATAACCTCAAAGTATTTTACACTACCTTTATGTTTATCAATTAATCTCATAAATACTGCACTTTAATACAAACTAATAATTATACTTATATATTTAATAGTATAATTTATTATAGCATTTAATCAATATCTCTGTTAATAATTAAATAATGACAAATAAAAATGTAGATCAGTTCATTAAATAATTTGTTTGACAGTTAAACGAACTTCGATTGAACATGGCGGCGTTCTATTGTCAACGTTGCCAACATAAGAATATTAACGAGATATTTATTCAAAAATAATTAATTAATTTATTTTATTTTTATTACAAAAATGGTTAAACTTGTGGAGTATAGAAGTCAACAGCAGCAAGTCAAAACACATCATTTTAACTCTTTGCAAGGGACTTGTCCTGCAGTAAGACTTAATGACAAAATTATAGATCAAACAGATACAGTCAAATATCTAGTTTACACCTGGAAGGAACACATTAAGAAAAAGAGGAAGCAGCTTGAAGAAACCAAAAGAAGATATTATTGGCTCCTCGGACAAAATCAAAACAAAACTTGACACGCATAATAAAATTTACCTCTATGAAGCTATCATTAACCAATTTGGACATACGGCATACAGCTATAGGGATCAACTTCCAACTCAAACGCTTTCATAATTCAAAGATTTCAAAACAAGTTATTAAAATAAATTTTGAAAGCACCAAAGTATGTTCCAATTTGGTTAATACACAAAGACACAGGCACTAGCACAGTTAAGAATAAAATAATCGCTTACTCACACAAATATAGAAATCCCTAGCTGATCACCCGAATTGCTCGCCAGAAAACTTTAGAACAGCTCTACCAGGGCCCGATTAAAAAAAAAATTCTTCTGTATTAATCAACAATAGATAAGACCTTCGACAAATCACTGGCAATGGTCAGCTGATTTGTATTTTGCCAATGCTTCAGTTTTATGACAAATATTTTACTTGTTGTCCGTTTCAGGACAGTTGTAAATAAAAAAAAAGAAAGAAAATAAAAAAAATTATTAATTATTAAAGTTAACTACGATCCATGGCATGTCAAAAGACATACACGTTTTTCCCTTCAAATTTTCATATCAAAAAGTGAATGTCCATGCTTTTTCACTCATTTCAAACGTCTCAAACATATACATATTTTTCTTTCATGTCAAAAATCCATGGATTATTATGTTATAAAGCACCAAATTCAAAATTATATTTAATTTAAAGATCACATAAATCTGTTATGAAATGAAAACGTTTAATCAATTTGGTCTTTTGGTTTACAAAATAAATATAAAACCTATTGTTGATACAAAAAATAAAATTATTATTATTAACTTCCCGTAGGGTAGTAATAGTAATGGGCCGAAAATCGAAAATGAAATGTTTTGCATATCTTTACGTTTTGAAGGTTTCTGAACATTTTGGCATACCTCACAAAAATGGATGTATGTGTGTGTGTGTTTTGTCCATGTTTTCGAGCGCACTCGGTTCAACCGATTTGAATGGTTCAAAAAACATTCGTTTCCTATTGATAGGGAGATGTACTGATTAGTTTTTAGCAAAGGCAGCTCCAGCCGTGACGGAGATACAAGGCAAAGAGTGCAGAAAATAGAAATAGAGTTTTTGAGAGAACGGAGTATCCGGTTTGAATGATCTAAAAACATCCAATTTGTAATGATTGGGAAGAGGGTGATTAGTTTTTGGCAAAGGTAGGTCCAGCCATTTCGAAGATACAGAGCTAAATATGCAAAAATTGCAGTTTTGAGAACTAAGGGTCCGATATGAATGATAAAAAAACTTTCTGCTTGTTTTAACAAAACAATTTCTTTCGGAAAAAAAATATTGTTTGAAATTTTTTTTTTCAAAAATTATAGTTTATATATTTCTTAAAAATATTAGACAATGTTACAATATTTATTTATGATAAGCTATTTGAAAGCATTTAATATTCCTGAAACATTTCATTACGGTACAAGAACTTCCAACAATTGCCTTAAGGCACGATGCCATACACCACTAGTTTCTATCAGTCATGTATCAGTTCCTGATTATGTAAATCCATTATTGAATACTTATAATTACCCCAACATTTGCCCTGTCAAGCTATATGAATATATGAATGCCTTCTTCCAAATTTGCATATGCTTATTCAAGACACTTGGATCTGTGAATGTCTTATCACATATTTTGCCTAGAGTGAATGAGCATATGTCGTTTCAAGACACTTGATTGTGCAAATGCCTTATCACATATTGTACATTTATTGGGCGTTCCCCAGTGTGAATGAGCATATGTTGTTTCAAACTACTCAATTGTCTAAAAGTCTTATCACATATTGTACATTTGTTAGGACGTTCCCCAGTGTGAATGAGCATATGTTGTTTCAAGCTACTCGATTGTCTAAATGTCTTATCACATATTGTACATTTATTAAAGCTTTCACCAGTGTGAATGGGCATATGTTGATTCAAATGACTCAAACGTATGAACTTCTTACCACATATTCTACAAATATAGGCTCGTACACCAGTGTGAATGAACATATGATCTTTCAAATGGCACAAATGTATAAACTTCTTACCACATATTCTACAAATATGAGCTCGTTCACCAGTGTGAGTAAGCATATGTTTATTCAAGCTACTCAAATGTGCAAATGCCTTATCACATATTGTACATTTATTAGGGCGATCCCCAGTGTGAATAAGCATATGTTGTTTCAAGCTACTCGATTGAGTAAAAGTCTTAGCACATATTGTACATTTGTTAGGACGTTCCCCAGTGTGAATGAGCATATGTTGTTTCAAGTTACTCAATTGTGCAAATGCCTTATCACATATTGTACATTTATTAGAGCGTTCACCAGTGTGAACGAGCATATGTCTTTTCACACTATCCAATCGTAAGAATGTCTTATCACATATTGTACATTTATTAGAGCGTTCCCCAGTGTGAATGAGCACATGTTGATCCAAATTACTCAATCTTATGAATGCTTTATCACATAGTTGACATTTATAAGGTCTCTTTGCAGCATAAATATTTTGTTTTTGATTACTAGATTCATTCAAGTTTTGTTCTCTGGCACAAGCACAAATGTGTTGATCTAAATCACATTTATTAAATGCTTTATTGCACTTTGTACATTTGGAATGTTTTTTCCCTGTATGGGATTTTAGATGTATTTCTAATGCACTTGCATCAGGAAAAATCTTTGAACAATCAGTACACTTATGACTATGACTTACCATATGCTGTTCTAAATATTGCAACTTTCTAAATGTTCTATTATTTTTATAAGAAAGATTCTGAATTAATTCCTGTTGGGGTTCTTCTTCTATCTTTACTATAGAATTCATGAATCTCTTCAGACATGTTTTATCATCATCTGAACATTCTTCAGGCTCTTTTTCTATTTCTTGTTGAATATTTTCAATTGGAAATTCTTCAGGTTCTATTTTAACTATAATTTCATCTAATTGTTTTGTGGAACAAGGACAAATGTGTTGATCCAGATCATATTTTGTAGTAAATGCTTCATCACACTTTGTACATACAAAATGATTTGCAACCGTGTGACTTCTCAGATGCATTTCTAATGTACTTGCATCTGAAAAAGTCTTTGAACAATCAGTACACTTATGACTATGATTTACCATATGCTGTTCTAAATTATGCAACTTTCTAAATGTTCTATTACACTTGTTACATTTATAAGGAGGACTCTGAATTATATTCTGTTGAGATTCTTCTTCGATTTTTACTATGGAATTTCTGAACCTTTTCAGACACGTTTCGTCATCCTCTGAATAGGATTCAGGGTCTTCTTCAATTTCCTCTTTGATGTCTTCGATTGGATATTCTTGTGGTTCAATTTTAATTATCGGATCATCAACAGCTTCTGACATTTTGAAATACTTGTGCACTGCGTGTATTCTGTAAGTATTGACAAAAGTAGTTAATTACTATTTAATGAGCTATTGCTAAATATGATAATTGAACTAGTTATTGATAGTTGAGAATGGAGTGGATTTATCCAGTTGTAATATTTCACAGAAGTGTGTAAATCAATATCCAGATTTCCTCAATGGTTGGATTTATTTTTTAAGCAAGTTTTATATTCAAATCTATTCTTACATTAAATTAACTGTAGTCTGTTTTGGATAATGTATGTCGCCAAGATGGCCCCTTCCTCAAAATCTATTCGACAGAAGGTGAAACTATTTGTTCCAAACTTTTGGCTTATTGCAGAGCTGAAATATACAAAAGTACAATTGAGCTTTAATTATCCATTGCCTACCTATATTTAAAATTAAATATTTATAGTTCTTTCTGTATAAAATAAACATTATGACAAATTAACCTAGTGACATAACCTCAAAGTATTTTACACTACCTTTATGTTTATCAATCAATCTCACAAACACTGCCTTTTAATACACACTACTAATTATACTTATATATTTATATAATATATTTATTTTAACATTTAATCAATAATTATGTTGAATAATTAAATAAATAAAAAATTAAATGTTTCATCAGTCCATTAA